TTTTGTAAAGTCGTTCTTCTTTTGGTGTTCACACATGGCAATGCCCTAGTCCCACCTACGGATGCTCTCTCTTTTGCTGACTCTCCTCTCTCGTCCTGTTCCCTACATGTGGATATTTCCATAGGTTCTATCTTAGGGTAGTTCTTTCCTCACTCTTTTGCCCACCATTTTTTTAATCTTATGATTTCAGTTTTTCCTCTGTGACAGTTCGGTTTTTATCAAGTATGGAGCCAGAAACTTCAGCCCTAGCTTCATCTTCCTTTTTCTATCCCTACATCCAATTAGTTCCAAGACTTGTGTTGAATTTTCACCTCGGTATCCTTCCTTTTTACTACCTGACTGCTTTTTAAAAAATCCCTAACCTGGCCACAACTCCACCCATGGTCACAGGTCCCGAAAGTTAATCCAATACAGATAGATTCCCTCTCCCACCCTCTGCTTCAAGACTTCTCTCTCATCAAATCCTCTCTCAGTCTCATCCCTGGTTTCCCTCTTTGTCTGCTCAGGTGTTTGCTTGGCCCTGTGGCAAACTGCATTGTTGAGATGACCCAACTTTCCTTTCAGCTTCATTCTCCTTGTCCCTTCAAGCTTTGGGTAACTATATGACACAGTCTGGCCAATGAGACACGAGCAGAAGTCTGCTAGGAAATTCATGGGAAAAATTTTGTTCTCTTGATACAGACTCCTCTCCCTTTATCCTTTCTCCTGATACAGATATAAATGTGACGGCTGGACTTGAAGCAGCCTTCTTGCAATCATGAGAAAAGGTTCAGAGATTCACACAGACTTTGATAGTAACATCATTAAATTATATAAATAACACTATCAACTGCCTTCTCCAAAGTTCTTCTTATGTGAGAAAAATAAACTCATATCTGAGCCCCCACAGGAAAATTGGAGCTTTCTTCCTTGTTTTGGTGACCACTCTGGAATCTCTTCCTCAGCTCACCAACTTAGCCCCTGCCTCTGATGAGCTTTCTGCTCCTCACGTCCCCTTGCTGCCAGAGGTACCTGAGCCAGCTCATCCCCTTTGATTACCTCCCACTGAGAACGGGACAGTATCCTTATAGTCTATCTCCTTAGGACCTTGTCCTGGATGACTGACATAGTTTCCTGCTCTACCTGGTCTCCCTTTCAGTTTCTTCCAATTCCATTTTATAGTGGACACTACCTCCAAACAGATTTTCATAAAGAACATTGGTAATAACATCAGATAGTCTGGTGGTATTGAACATCAAATGATATACTCAAAAATTTTCAATGGCTCCCTATTGCCTACCACATTAGACCATTAGACATTCGAAATGCTCCATAATATAATTTAAATCAAAGAATTTCAACCTCATATGACATAATTTTTTAATATTTAACCTGTTTTCTTGGCAAATTAAATATTATTTTTTGAGGATTCTTTTTAAATTTTTTTAAATTGACAAATAAAAATTATATATACTTATTGCATACAAAATGTTGTTTTAAAATATATATACACTGTAGAATGGCTAAATCAAGCTAATTAACATATATATTACCTCATATACTTACCTTTGTTGTGGTGAGAACACTTAAAAGTCTACTACTTAGCAATTTTCACGAATACAATACACTGTTTTTAACTATTGTCACTATGTGTGCAATAGATCTCCTGAACTTATTCCTATCTAACCGAAATTTTGTATCTTTTGACTGACATCTCCCCAACCACCTCTGATCCCAACAACCCACCCGGCCAGCCCCTGGTAACCACCATTCTACGCTACTTCTATGCATTCAAATTTTTAAAAATTCCACCTGTAAATGTAGCTATTTAAGATTTATAACATACAAACATAGTTTTCTTAGCTACCCATGAGATTATCAGTTCCATGAGGGCAGTCATGATATAATAATATTTTATTCATACAGTCAACAAATATTTATCAAATCCTTACTATTTCATGTGGAGGTGATACGAGCAAGACAGAGCAGGCCCTTGCTCTCAGAGAGTTTAGGTTCTAAGGAGAAAGGGTGGCATATTTTACAGAAAACAAGCAAGTAAATAAATAAACAAAATAGGATAATCTCAGAATTAGATTAAGTAGTTAAGGAAGTTCTCCCTGAAGAAGTGATATTTGAGATGAAAGCTCAATGATAAGAACCCCATCACAAGAAGACCAGAAGAGAGCAAATGGAAAGTCGCTGAGTTGGGCATGAGCGTGGTGTGTCTGGAGACCACGTGAAGGGCAGTGTGGCCGGAGCGAAGTGGTGGAGAGGAAGACTAGTGTGAGATGAGCTTGTAGGGACAGGCAAGGGCCAGACCTTGAAGGCCCACGGAGGCCAAGCACAGTGGTTTGAATTTCATTCTAAGGTTTTAAACACGAGTAACATGGTCTAATTTACAACGTAAAATGATCTCCCTGGCTGCTGTGTAGGCAATGGATTATACAGGGTCAAGAGTGGAAATAATACGATTGATTGGAAGACCACAGCAGTCATCAAGGACATGAGGTGATAGTAGGTTGAATCTGGTGGTAGGGGGAGAGAAAAAGAGATAAGGGGACACATTTATTGTGTCTATAAAATTAGGCATCGTATCTTGAACACAGTAGATGCACCCTACACATTGCTAAATATATGTGCAAGTACTTCGAAATAGTTTCACATTCTTAGTTTCTATACTATCTTCAAGTTTTTTCTGCTTTGAGTCACATACTATGGCTTAACACATTCCTGTTTGACACTTAGAGAGCCAAAGAGAAAAAAAAAGATCTCATATTCAAGGAAATGGTATAGGTCCCATAATGGAAAGTCACCTAACAAGGAACTGAAACAGTGGAGTTTAGAGGGTCACACTGTTAATTATGGGAAGAAATAAATCTTTGAAACAAATAGTATGATAAAGAGTAGAATTCGAAATCTATGATAGGATGACAATGGACAGGGTATTCAAATACAAAAATCTACATTTTAAAAAAGAGAGTCTCCAGTCAGCATCAGCTAGAATAGTGTCCCTAAACAGAGGATGTGAGCAAAATTCATTTTCATTAAAGTTGAAAACTTTTCCAGTTCTTACTTTTGATTTTTTTGAGATATAAAAGCTTCAATTTACTATCTTGATGTGATAAATGTCCTAATAAGTAGCTAATGTCATCTTACCAGACAGTAAAGCTTATAAAATTCCAAGGGCACTGAATGTGACCTGCTTTGTTTCTGAATTAGGAATCTGACAAAAGACAGGTAACTTGGGGAGTTCCACTTCGCTTTCACGTGTACTGTCCAGGACATTTAGACTCATACCCACAAAGACGATGAAGATTCCTGCATTATGAATTTAATCCAAATTCCTTCAATACGCAGCAAAATCCAGGGGAAGATGAGATCAATTTTTGCCACTTTCCCTCTGAAATGCTAAATGGCCCCTGAATTGTGTGAAACTTGGCCCCGGTCAGTGTGAAAACTGGCTGAAATCTGTATGAAAGGCAGTCTGGGTTTGTCAAAGTAGTTCATGAACTTTGGCCAAACTTTCAAGGAACCTGGTCCAAGTCTTCGTTTGTAATGCAACACGAAACCAGGTGAATTCCAGATGGTTTCAGGTTTCATCCTGAAAATTTGGCCTAGCTTTATAATCAATCATCACTCTTCGTAACGATGAAAGCCAAAACACCTTTTTGAAAATGAGGACTGTGTGCATATCGATGACAGCTAAGCTGTGAACCACCCCTTTGCTTCCTCTGCCAAAAGAAGATTTCTCAGAATGGAAACAGTTTCCCTCTTACCTAGAAGGGGCAAGTTGAGTGATTTTGATACTGTGTGTAGAAAGAAATGGGGCTCGATGTGTGGAGACACGTCGCGAAACAATCACCACCTGAGAAGCAAGTGGCTATCCCCTAATCACTTCAGACTAGGAGAGTTTTACTCCGTTCACAGCTGTGACAGTAGGTAACATGATGTTTAATCTCCGTGACCATTAAGATGAGCTTTTAACTAACTGCCATGAGAAACGAAACACTCTGAGGCCCGATCGCACTTTCTGCATAAAGTGGCTGAAGCATAGAAGGGAAAGTAAATCACAGCATAACTCTTACCTGGTTTAAGAAACATGAGGAGATAATTAGACTTCAAACCTTTCAAGTTTACATCAACTGCATCTTTTGTGAAAAAAAATCTCTATGCAATATAAACAAATTGAATAATTAACTAAGCACAGTGCGTTTTACAGAAAGACCTACAGAGTTTCTGTTTTCAACCTGAAAGTTTTAAACGTGCTTTTCCACTGTAAAAAATTACTCTCTTCAACCAAATACTTGCTTTTGTGCATAGTGACATGAGAAAATTGAGAGGTATGTCTGTGCGGAGCCACGACATCATTGAAACAGTATGTCTGAACATTTGGGTAATAAGGCACAGATGTGAAGCGGAGGACTTGGCACTACCAAGGTAACAGCATTCACTATTGTGTTGTGATGGTTAAAGGGCCACATTCGAGAAGCTTAAAAGAATGCCGCATCCATTCTGCAGCAATGCTAACTTGTACTACATCTTGTATCTGCTTAAAAATCTACAATAAACAAGAAATGTAAACATGTATTATTCAAACTTACAATGAAGAATAAATACGTAAAATGCATTAATATTTTTTATCTATAATAAAACATATTTATGCAATAGCACATAAAGTTTAACTGCAGCAAAAAGGCCAAATTCAATTGAAATCCATATGGCCTCCATGTTGCAAAACAATGCATGCAAATCTGAAGGACCCAATAGTCACTGGAAAGGTGGCTGTTGTTGACTTTAAGAAGGGATTCCAGCCGTTAATTCGTAGGTCTAATTATTGTAGAATGTTATAGGCATCAGGTAAAGATAATGCAACAGAACATAAACATTAGTTATTATTAAGACTTTTTCACTTACAGGTGGCATGCTATTTTTGCCAGCCGTCTTTAATTTGCTGACTTTAATTCAATACATTTGGAGCTGGAAACTAATTTTCTGCCCAGGAGAGGCAGAGCACAACTTACCCGAGGTCCCTGATCCCCTTGTTCTCCCTGTAGAATAAGATGAGATGATAGTTTTAACCAAAATCTATACGTGATGCTCATTAAAAACTCAAAATATAATACAGTTTAGGTGATGCCAATATGGATTTCTACCAACGTAATTTGTTTCTGCTATGCGTTTTCTTACCTTATCACCTTTTGGACCAGGAGGACCCTGAAAAAAAGAAAGAGGAGAAAAAATTAAAAAAATATATATTCTAACCTAAATAGATCAGCCAGGTCAGTTGAAAGATTTATGCAAAGTACACAGAGATATAGCTGTCAGTGAGTTCTCTCAAGGAATTTTGGTTTCTAAATTATAATTGTAATTTGGTTAGAATGTAAAAATAGTAGTATATGTGTGTGTATATATACATATAAACACTATGTCATAAGTATATAATATGCTGAATACATTTTCACAGACTGAACACACCTATGCACGTAGAACCCTGCTAAAGAAACCATACAGGACCAGCGAGTCAGAAACTCCTGTTGGGACATTTCCTTGTCACCACCCTCCACCAACAGCAACCACTATTCTGACCTATGACAACATAGATTAGTTTGCCTGTTTTTGTACTTTATATAAATAGAATCATATACGCTATGTGTCTTGCCTCTTTTGCCCAATATGTGTGAAAT